TTGAGTAGGTTTCAGTTGCCCATTGGTGCTCAAGCCCGAGTCAAGTCATGAGTCCTGAAAACTGTCCTGGACTTGAGTACTACAACACTGGACCATCCACATTCTGGTATAAATATATTACAGTAATATGTATATTGCAGCATGAGGAAAACTCTATAAAGATGTTTAACTACCTGGTGGAAGTTAATCAGCTGAAGCCGTACATGAAGACACACAACCTGAACGTTGACGATGGGGAAGAGGACCTGGAGTTCATCAGGGAAATGATTAGCGGACCTAAGCAGAATAACGGAGCTCAAAGCCAACAGGTGCCAGTCAGTCCTGCTTGTGTAAATTGCGTGATATTAGTCAGTATCCTCACTGATATAGCAGACACTGTCTAATGCCACTATTGTGCTCTCATCTCCACAGTGGCCATATCAAGGTCGCTCAGAAGAGAAATCCTTCCTCTATGAAATCGTGGCCAACAAAACAAATGGCATTGATGTGGATAAGTTTGACTACTTTGCCAGGTGAGGCTTGTTAACATCTAATGTGATAGTTTTCACTTTTTGATGTACAGTAGAGTGAGGAGCTACTACAGGTATACAGTAGTTCCACTGTTTGGTGCAGGATTCTCCAGGGTGCACTGATTGTGTAACGTAATAAGCTCATATATTTCTTCACTCTGTCTCAGGGACTGCCACCACCTGGGAATCCAGAACAACTTTGACCATCGCCGCTTTCTAAAGTTTGCCAGGGTGTGTGAAGTTGACGGACAGAAGCAAATCTGCTTTAGAGACAAGGTGCTGACTTTGTTACTCCTTCTTTGTTTATAACAAGATATTAAAGAGCAATGCATGTATTCACTTAGCTGTGACTAACCTAAATGTGATATTCCCAACAGGAGGCATACAATCTGTTTAACATGTTCCACACTAGGTACTCTCTCCACAGAAGAGCCTACAAGCACAAAGTGACCAAAATCATAGAGCTAATGTGAGTAGCCACTCATCCATGTTGGTATCCATAACATTTAGCTTGGTCTCCTGTCTGATCTGATGCAGCTTATTTCATTTGCTTCATGATTCATTTTCTAGTATGCTTTGCAGCCAAATGTTCTCAATATTGATAGCATGTTGTGTGTGTTTACTCAGGATCAAAGATGCCTTTTTAAAAGCAGATCCACACATCCAGATTAAAGGCTCAGGAGGGGAGATGCTCACTCTCTCCACAGCCATACACGACATGGAGGCCTACACCAAGCTGACAGGTCTGTAGATACCTGTGTGCTCATGAAGAATGTTAACACATACATTTAGCACCTACTGTGTCATGTTCATGTACTACGCAACACTATCCTTTAAAATATGCAACATTGTCTATCCATGTTCTGTCATCAGCAACATCTCATGCTTGGCCTTTTTTTTTGCTCATTTACATACACAATTCATATAAAACCATTTGCACACAATGAGATCAACAATCAAGCTGACCTCACATCCTATAACTTTACTGTGACAATGTTTTCTGATAACCTACTGCCTGCCAAAAAAAAAAATTTTTATAAAAATGTGCCTTTCAAATGTTAATAGGGCTGTGATGAGTCACTTGGCTCACAAAACATTTTAACTCAATTTTAAAGAAATATTCAGTGGTAAAATATGACACTGGAAAAATAATTTTACTCAAATGAAAGTCACAAAATGTAAAACAATGCATGTGCATTTTGAAATGATTTAACTAATCATCCTGGTAGTAGTCATGTCAGTTCTACTTTGAGTAGATATCAGCTGCAGTAAAAGACTGTAAAACTAAATGTTTTTGCCACAAACTGAACCTACTGGCTTCTCTTCTATATGATTTCACATGAGACTCTTTAGCCCTTGTAACTGTGCACAAGGGTCTAACTTCTTTGAAGCTGTGTGTGACCCTCTAATTGAACTCCTTTCCACAAAGTGAACATAAAGTGGTAGGGGCATTCTCTGTCAATTTCACCCTCTCACTGTCATGCTGGCTGCTCCTCTGGTTCTGTTATGTACCGATATCACAAGACAGCTTTTTACTTTGACAATAAAAATAGTCACCTTTTAATATCATGAGCTCTTGTGGCACTAGATCTCAGCCCTAACTGTAACAGTAATTGTGGCATATGCAAATGATTGCGTGTCTACTTGAAAAGTCTCAGAATTGATAGACTTATGAGTTGTTACAACTTAGAAATTGTCATTAGGCCCTCACTCCCCTGACCTATCACTGAAAATCTGTTGGCAGATATTCAACATGTTGTGCAAACAATACCATCTAAAGTGAAGTGACTTGCAAAGAGGGTGAAAAAATTTTAATTCAAAAATAGACATTTAGCTGGCTACAAAAAGCATTTGCAAAGAGGGGCATGTAAATACTAACTTAGAATGGCTGGAACCAATTATTTGACTATTTGGATGTTTGTTCTTTGAGTAGGTAATCGGTTTTCAATTTCAGTATTCAAATAGTCGAGACACCAGGAAGTTTCACTGCAGTGCGAGGTCAGTGATCAAGAAGAAAGAACACAATGGTGACAGCTTGGTCTACTAGCTTTTATTCGCATCTCCAAATACGCTATGACTTACTCAGACCAACCAGATATTCTAAATCTAAATGGGTAATTTCTTGACTTAAAAATATCAACTTATAATAGCAAACCAATCCTAGCATGAAATATTCACAGATTCAAAGTCCCTAGATAAATAAACCATAAGCAAAACATTAACAAATGACTTCTCTTTACCGTAGTAAGGCAGACAGACAATGAGCTACAATCAAATTTATCAAAACGAGCCATTTTGATGAAATGCCATATGTGCATCTGGCTGAGAGATGACTGTGCAGAGACCATCTACAAAGCACACCTTCAACGTTTAGCTCACATACAGCCTTAATTTCAGCTGCCAGTTTGTGCCAAGATTTTAAAGTGTGCTCTCATCAAAAGCAAAATACAAAAATGTGAAAATTACTTTCCAGGATGATGCAGTGGTTTTACAGGACATCGTACAATTAATCTCAATTTATCACTTTTCCGTGACTGGAAAACAAACATTTCCAGGTTTTCTAGGATGCATGGGAACACCGACTGATGAAGGCATAAGCATTCACCCCCCCACCACCAGTGAATATACAAATATTTGCTGATTATTATTACTGAAGCCCCAAAAAAAAGTCATTCAGGACAGCCCTACTTAGGTTGCCAAAGTTTTGCAATAATTATTTTGTTCTTAAAAAGTAAGGGTGAATTGTCATTTTAAGAAAAGCTCATTTTTAATGTTTCTTTGCTGGTTGTATTTACTTCTTCCACTTAAAAGATCCATGTAGAAGACAAGGAAACAAACACTGTTCCTGTGTGTGCCAATGTAGAACTTGTTAGTTCTTACACTTTATAAGGAAAAATACAAGCTCACACTGATGTTTAGGTATAAACCAAATCCAGGAATTGCCACATGGAGCTACCAATAATGTCAAGGGATCAACTCAATTATAAAGGCCAGACGAGTAAAAGCAAAAACAATTTCTTTAAGAAGAGCACTGGTAAACAAAATGATACAGAAAAATGATTAAACAAGAAACACACTCTCAGGTCAGTAATACAGTCCAGGGTCAAAACCAACATACTTACACATTCAAGGTATCCACAAAAGCACAATCAAAAGAAGTCCATAGGTCAAAACACAGAAAACACAATCAAAATCAGAGGGATTAGGCAATACTCGGTGGTCAAAAGGTAAGCCAGAGTCAGAGCTGGAATCACAGGAACAAGAAAATAGTTGAAAGTTTGAACAAGAGTTAAAACAATCTGGCAGCTTCTTGGCGTGGGGAAGTCGTCTATATGCTGTTGTAACCAGGTGTGAGTAATGAAAAGCAGATGAAACCAATGTGGGTGATGAGATAAAGTTCCCGGGAGTCAGGGTGAGCTGGGGACAGGAAGTAGTGTCAAAATAAAAGCATGAGACCGGAAGCAGGCGGGACAGAATCATGGCAAACCCTGACTTTTTAGCTCAACATACAGTATTGTGAAAAATTTAGGTGCCTAATGTGAAGTTGGGATGCTGTCAAAAGTAATGCAGTGAATTGTTTTTTTATTTACTGTATAGTGTAGTAAACAGAAGAAACCTAAACCAACTAATAAGCTATTTATCCTGACACTCTAATGACTGCAGCTTACATTCAAGGAAGTAAAGTACAGCAAACATCTTCTTTTGATGCATTGCTTAAACCTTTGCTCTTTTGTTTTAGGTTTTGTAAAGACAAAATACAATGACACTCACCAGACTCTGTTACTTATAGCCCCATGCACATTACGTCAGCAAGGTAAAAAATCCAGAGATTGACAGACGTGCAATGCCTAGCCACAGTCCTTAAAAGGTCTGGTGGAGCGATTTATCAAATGGTCAGTTATGGGTAGAAACGGCTTGCTGAAGTTTAGAAGAAATGTCTTTCTGATAATGCTTGTTAAATTATCAGATCCTATACATTACAGTTGTGCCCTGTATCTTGGATTGGTGGTTGCTAAGAAATTCATTCTTCATCCAGCATCTTTAAATAAAATTTATATTGTAGTCATGAAAATGTATTTTCTAATATTTATCAACAAATTAATGAGGTAAAAGTTATTTATTACAGTTATATCGCAATGTCAGATTTTTAGTTGTGAAACACTAAATGAATCTGTGGCCTTGTCTTTGGTTTGTTTTAATGTCCTGTCTTCCACTGTCTTTCTCTGTTTGTCCTGTAGATAAAGTGTTTGAAGACATACTCCACTCTTCCCCTGATAACCTGGAAGATGCAAGGAAGACCCTAAAGAGAATCACCTCTCAAGATTGCCACAAGTCTCTGGGTGAAAAATAGAATAAATTTATGTTGTAATGACTCAGCCTGCTTTTTTGAGCATCTTTAAATAAAATTTAATTTGTAGTCATGTGAGTTATGCCACTCAGTTTGCAATGTCAGATTTTTAGTTGTGAAACACTAAATGAATCTGTGGCCTTGTCTTTGGTTTGTTGTAATGTCCTGTCTTCCACTGTCTTTCTCTGTTTGTCCTGTAGATAAAGTGTTTGAAGACATACTCCACTCTTCCCCTGATAACCTGAAAGAAGCAAGGGAGATCCTAAAGAGGATCATGTCTCGAGAGCTCTACAAGTATCTGGGTGAAATTCCATTTAAGAAAAACATGATGCCAAAACCCAAGGAAACCATCAAGGTGTGCACTAATGCCTTGTGCCTGTGAAGCATCTGCTTGACATGTTATTTATCTGCAATGATCACACTGAACCTTCCAATCACATTTTGTATATTATACTTTATTTTTATAAAAAAGCTGAATATTGTGCTCTTTCTGTGGGTGAGAAACAGTGTATACTGTTTGTTTCAGTTGTCTCCTGA